AAGAGGGGCGGGGCGGGCGGGGGGGGGACAAAAAGAAAAAAACAAAAAAGAGAGAAAAGAAACGAATCCTCGCGTTCCAGAATATTTTGCACGAAAAATATGTAAATTTAAATGGTACTTCTTAAGTCGTGTCATACAAAATTGAGGAAAGAATAGTAGAAGAGAGGTAGAAGTTCTCTCCTTATGTTTATTTTATTTTATCATTATTATTATTTCTTTTTTTTGTTTCTTTTTTTCTTTTTTTTCTTCTTTTTTTTTTTTTTTATCCGCTTCGTTTTCGTTTCCGTTAAAACTTTTTCCTTCTCAAAGATTTCCTACGAATTTAAAAGATTTATATATTTCTTTCTTCCTACTTTTTTTTTTCCTCTCCATATTTTTTTCCATTGCCAGATATATTTATTTATTTATTTATTTATTTATTTATTTATATTTAATGGCAGAGAGAGAGAGAGAGAGAGAGAGAGAGAGAGAGAGAGAGAGAGAAAGATAAATATTAACTGTTCAGCATAAGCTAACGAGTTCCTCTTGAGATTTTCGATGGACGACAAGGAGAATTTTATTTTCCAAGAGATCAAAGTTTTTCTTTTCAATGTGATTTTTTTCTTTTTCTTTTTCTCTTTCTTTTCTTTTTTTGTTTTGTTTTGTTTTCCTCACGAGCGGATTTTTTCACGCGTATATTTTTTCATGTGTACGAGTTTGTACGATCTTTCTTTCTTTCTTTCTTTCTTTCTTTCTTTTTTTCTCTCTCTCCCTCTCATGGTTTCTCTCTTATTTATTTTGGTCTAATTAAGAAAGAAGAGAGACCAATCGATTGTAGTCACGACTTAAGACGTACCAACGAACAAAGCTTCGCTCGACATGTTCTGCAAAGAAGGCTTCAAAATTAAAGGTGAATTTGAATAATGAAAAGTCACAGTGGACATTACCTTCCTCGAGGCCTTCATCGCCGTCGCTCATCAATTCATCGTCCGAGCATATGTTCAGTACGTTCACTAGCATCTCTGTGACTAGAAACAAAAAGAAAAAACAGAGGAAGAAGGAGAAGATGAAGTAAAAAAAATTGAAAGGAAAGAAATGAAGAGAAAGAGATGTCAATTATATACAAAAAAAAAAAAAAGAAAAAAAAACGAAAAAAAAAAAGTAAGTAAATTTGCACTCGTGAAATTATTATTATTAATTTTTGTTTTTCTTCAATTTTTATTTTCTTCAAGTTTTGAAATTCAATTCAATTTACTTATTTATATTTTTTTTTTTCTAATTTTGTTGTTGTCGTTGTATTCGCCAATATATATTTTTACTTTTGAAAAAGTAAAAATTATTATTTGTGATATAAAGAAAAAGGAAAAAGAAGAAAAGAAAAAAAACAGAGAAACAAAAAAAGAAAATAGGAACAAAGAAAGTTAATTTTACCTTTTTCACCAACGAACGGTAAAGACCACGTAAAAACGTCCATAAAGTTGGGTAGCCAATATGGATGAGGCGAACAGTTGAATTGCCTGATGTTCATTACGTTATTTTCGTATTTCAATACGGCTGCCTGAAACAACAGAATTTTTTTTCCTTTTTTTCTTTCTTTTTTTTTTTCTTTTCTTTTTCAGAGGAGAGAGCCGCTGATTCCTTTGATCAAAAAAAACCTTTTTACAACGTAATAATATATCCTCCCTTTCGACTTGAATTAATTCTTCATTTCTTTGTAATTTACATATTTTACAGCTGATTCTTTGCCATAACGCCGAATACTCAGATACACATTTCATTTATTAGTGTTATCTAGAAAAAAAAAAAAAAAAAAAAGGAAGTACAAATGAATGAATTATTTCATTTACGAAGTCGTCGCGGCCATTTCTCTCTCTCTCTCTCTCTCTCTCTCTCTCTCTCTCTCTCTCTCTCTTCTTTTTTTTCTTTATTTTTTTTTTACGAAAATCATTAACAATAATATTTTTCCACTGTATATAGATATTCGTACGTAAAAAAAAAAAAAAAAAAACCAAAATTAAAATACAAAAGTAAGTAAATTAAAATATAAAAGGGAATTAATAAATTTTCATAATTTGATATTACATTAATATACTCGATTGATATTAATTATTTTAATAATTTGATGAATAATTCAATTGCTTTTTATAAAATTGTTAAGTAATAAATTTTATAAGGGACAGAAAGAAAAATAAATTGTTATTAACGGACGTGACGTTGTTATATCAAATGAAAACTTTGACGGAGAAAATAAATTGTAAATTTGCTAATCTAAAAATTGCCATTATATTCTGATAATATTTATTACCTTAATAATCCATCGTATCAGCGATCGATACGTATATACCATTAGAAGCAAATTTTAAAGAGTAAAAGTGATCGATCGATTGATGCGCGCGCGCGTGCATGTATATGTGTGATAATAAATATATAAGTAAATAAACATAATTATCAAAGATATATGAAGGTAGTTGTACCTATATATATATGTATTATAACGTTATCGTAAGAAAAATTATGAAAATAATAAATAAATTTGATAGAACGAAAATTGAAAATTTGAATGATTCGTGAAATTTCTCTTTAATATATGAATTAATATTTATTATCTTTTAATAAACGCAATATGATTGATACTTACGTATTTAGTTACGCTATGTGACAAGATAAATTTTTAAAGTATATGAATTCGATTGATACGCGTGTATGCGCTAAATAAATAAATAAATAAATAAATAAATAAATAAATAATTAAAATAATTTTTGAAATTTATTTAATTATAATCAGATTATAAATTATTATGGAAATCTGTTACCTTGTTGTTGTAAACGTCGAGATAATTAGGCGCACTAAAGATGGTTATTAGCGATGGGAAGCCCGTCGTTTGAGATTTTCGATACATACGATATCCCGCGTCCTGTGCCTCATGCGCTCTTATGATGCTGAGCAGATTATTGGTCTGCAGGAAGTCGCAACACGCGGCGTAACTGTAACATAGAGATTAGATAGTTTAGATAGATCGTTTCGAATTCCGACGTTCGAGAGTCCACCGGATATAGATGGAGAGACAACTTCCGAGTGTTTTCGATTAAATCCGAGGTCAAATGGAACGACAACATTTTCACGTGAAATGTATCATTTGCGACAAAATGACTGTGACCATTTCGAAAAAGAAAAAAGAAAAAAAAAAGAGAGAAAAAAAAAAGAGAAAAAAGAAAACGCTTTTCTTTCCACTTTCGAAATCGCGTTTTATTAAAATAATATTTAATATTACGTACAATTCGATTTAACACATGTTTTAGATAGGAATCTTTTTTTATCGATTTTTTCTTTCTTTCTTTTTTCCTTTATTTTTTTTTTTCTTTTTTCTTTTTTGCCCCTTTCGATTTCTCGTCAATTCTACGAATTTTGAAAATGTTCTAAATGGATCGCTTTATAATTTTTTTTTCTTTTTTTTCATTTCCTTTTTCTTTTCTCCTATACTCTCTCTTTTATTTATTTATTTATTTATTTATTTTTTTTTTTTATTAGAAACATTTAAAGCAACATATTACATTATTTCTAATTTTCATGAGTAATTATTATGAGAATATGAAATAAAGCCACGCCATTCTATCCCCCGTAAGATATTAATCCCGTCGATTTCGCGCGTATTATAAATTTATCTGAACTTTAACACTTTATATTTTTTTTCTTCCTTCCTTTCTTTCTTTCTTTCTTTCTTTCTTTCTTTTTTTCTTTATATGCACTTAAGTCTTTGCAAAAAGATATTAATTACATTCAACGTGATACGTATTATATTATATCTGAAATTTTTATATATTCATTTAATATATTTCAAACGGTGTCACGTACGTACGTCAAATAAAATAACAACAGAATTATTTATAAATGAAAAATGAAGATCGAAAAGAGTGAATGTGTATGAGAGAGAGAGAGAGAGAGAGAGAGAGAGAGAGAGAGAGAGAGAGAGAGAGAAAGAGAGAGAAAGAGGAATATAATCCTACTTTTAAAACTTGAATATTATCGAAGATCGAGATAAGAGAAACAATCGATTAATGGTATGAGATAAATAAATATCGAAGGAAGAAAATATAATTTAATAAGACAATATAATTTTTGAACGTAAGGGAATTTACTTTACTTTTTATGATCATTTTATAAGTTGGATAAAATTATTCGCTTGCGAGCTGACTCGCGTGCTCGTCACAGACGATAATAGTAATAACAGTAATAGTAATAGTAATAGTAATAGTAATAGTAATAGTAATAGTAATAGTAATAGTAGTAGTATTAATAGTAGTATTAATAGTAGTAAGACTGCTTGAGAGTTTTCGTCGATGGTTTTGCTTCTCTCATTCCTCTCGTCGTTATCAACCGTGTCAAAGAAAGACGAAACAAGTGAACCAGAAACTCAGAGAGAGAGAGAGAGAGAGAGAGAGAGAGAGAGAGAGAGAGAGAGAGAGAGAGAGAGAGAGAGAGACAGAGAGAGATAGAGATAGATAGAAGAGACCGTATAGTAAGCCGTGAAACAATTTCGACGTCTCAAAGTGTTAGTTTCGAACGTTTGGACGCAAAACTTCCTCCTCCTATTTGAGAAACTCTCAAGTCAGTGCTAACGTGTGTCAGGAGCAGTGGTTCTCAAACTACTTTTCAAATTGATTCTACGATAAAGTCTCTCTCTCTCTCTCTCTCTCTCTCTCTCTCTTCGAGTTTGTTTGTAGCTACAAGAAAGCTAAACGATTTTATAGAGTTTGCCTTTTATGGAACTTCGATCGACCCTATCTCCTTCTGTCCCCTTCCCCTTCCTCCTCCACATTGCCCCTTGCCTACAGTAAAACAACTAATCAAAGTAGTTAGGCGTAAACTATAATTTGTTAATTTTGTCTTCAGCTTTTCTCCATGTAAAGTGTGTCTACGTATTCTAGAGTGCATCTAGATGGGCATACACATACACATACACACATACATATATATATATATATACACACTTATATATATATATATATGTAAATGTAGATAT